TCAGAATTTTAAATATCAGTCTAATACCAAAATCTTTACAATTATTTTTGTAATTTTTACAATCCATTAAATACAATTCAAAATTTCAGAAAANAGTGTATGTTAATAAACTAAACTTTCAAATGCAAATTTTTAAAATTTTTAAAATAAGAATATGTTTTCACAATTTGTTGTTTGCTGCAAAATACACAAACACTTTTTGCAAAATTTTTGGCTCAAAAACATGAAATTACATAATATATGAAGGAATAAGTGGAAAAATGGTATAAGTGACAAAACAGTTTTCTTTACTAAAAATACAAAGCATTAATTTATCTTTAAATCTCACTATTATGGATCAGGTTATAATGTTGATGATTAATCTAAAAATACATCATACATTTAGAGAGAGAACTAAAAGTCCTTCTCAGTCAAAAGAAATGTGACTGTTCACATTGGGTTTTTAAAAATATGTTTTTAGTTCTCTAAATTTACTATGTATTTCTAGATTAATCAATTAATATATCTATTTATTAATTTAATTTAATAAAAGGATTTTTATATTCAAAGTTATACTATTTGTCACTTGTACTAGTTTTCCACTGAATCCCTCATATTTATATTTTTAAAATTTAGCAAAAACAAAAACTAAAAAAATTCATTTTATGTATAGAAACAAAATATTTAAAAGTTTTAACTGCTACACAGTCATTAAACATTTTAATGGACTTAAGTATTTCAGTTTATTTTTAAAATATCTTGACTAAGTCTCTTATTCTGCACTGATGTATATCTCAGTATATAAGATTATATACATACATATTCTATAGCAAAAGCTACTATATATGAAATCTTAGTAATAAAATAAGTTATATATACCAGTAATATTTGAAACTCAATTATTTAATATATTCTGTTTACAATTATTTACCAAAAGATACTTCATATAATTAGTAATGTTTTCTAAACATCAAGTGATTTTAGTCTGTTTATATAAAGAAATAATACAGAAATACTATTAAGTTATATTTCTATAAAGACACTTTCATATCCATTTCAAAGTTAAATTTTATTCTTTGTCAAGCATAAATAATAAAAACCTAATCCTGAAAACTAGGAAAATTTTAAAATCAATTGGCTATGGTTCAATTCTGGTCTTGACTCATAGCTGGATCATATTGTTATAGTCTACATAATAATTAGAATGTAATCATTGTCTTTATGAAACTCAGTTTATCTGCAATTATAAAAAACTGTGTTATATTAAGTTTTATTTTTCATTTTGTAATATATATTTTTATTTTCATTTTGTAATATATATTTTTATTTTCAAATATATTATTATAAAATGCTGTGTTGTTAAACTACCTCAACTACTATCAATGGCTAGTCATTTCAAGTATCTAAAGTAGTCAATAATCTTGTTTAAAATTATCACAATACACCTTTTTGCTAGATACTTTGTAAACAGATAATGTTCTTTGTAGCCTATTAAAATCACAGTTAAAGAAGGAAAAATATTGATTTATTTTTCCACTTAGATAATAATATCATAGAAGTACTGTATATTTCATTAATTTAAGTTAATTTATCAAAATAAGAATTTAATGTGTAAGAAATACATCAATTAAATTCTGCACATTTCAACTTACATAATTTATCTACTTTTTAATATTAAATACACAGTACAAAATATTAATGTTATGCATTATTTTTTATAGTATATATTGTACTGTATTATATTTCTGTAACAGTTTATTTTATGAACTATAAAAAGAACTAATTATTATATAATACCATTACTTATTAAAAAATTCTGCATATATAAGAAATAATTCAGAGAATAAATTTTATTATTTTCACCACTAAAATACAATTGTAACGAAATAAATATTCATTTATAATCATCCTATTTATATAGTTTTATTTTATCATCATTATTTTATTGTATTATATATCATTATTTATATTATTAGATTAATATATCACATATCATCATATATATATATACTTTTTTGGATACTTTATGTATGTACATTAAATAACCACATCACAAAAAAACCTTAAAATGCTATGATACTTTTAATTTTTAAACTTGTTTTTGGTAAAAAAAAAAAAAAAAAGCCAAAAACATTCATTTTTTTCATTCTAGAATAGTAATGTTTGAATTATATTTGTCAGAAGTACAGTACATTTATGTTCCCCTCTTGTCAAATGAAAACTATCATTCAATTGCCATTTTTATCCTAAAGATGGTCAGTAAAAACGACCAAAAATATTTAAAAATTTAAAATATCACTGCATTTTAAGGTTTTTTTTTTGCAGTGTGGTTATTGCATATATATTTTATATAATTTTCATCAAACAAAAAATTTATTATTTAAAACTGCTTGCAATTTATTTATAAAATTTGTAAAATTAATTTCCAAAAATTAATAATATTTGAAAAAGATCAACCATATTAAACCATTAATAATTTTAATACTATTAATTATACTTGTATTTTAAAAAATTCAATATTGAAATATTCCTGTCCAATTTAAGTTTCTATTAAATTTAGCAAAAAGTTTAAAAATAGAAGAAACAATTTAAAAAAAAATACAGAATAAAATTACTCTTAGAAGTGTATGTTAAGAAACTAAACTTTCAAATGCAAATTTTTAAAATTTTTAAAATAAGAATATGTTTTCACAATTTGTTGTTTACTGCAAAATACACAAACACTTTTTGCAAAATTTTTGGCTCAAAAACATGAAATTACATAATATATGAAGGAATAAGTGGAAAAATGGTATAAGTGACAAAACAGTTTTCTTTACTAAAAATACAAAGCATTAATTTATCTTTAAATCTCACTATTATGGATCAGGTTATAATGTTGATGATTAATCTAAAAATACATCATACATTTAGAGAGAGAACTAAAAGTCCTTCTCAGTCAAAAGAAATGTGACTGTTCACATTGGGTTTTTAAAAATATGTTTTTAGTTCTCTAAATTTACTATGTATTTCTAGATTAATCAATTAATATATCTATTTATTAATTTAATTTAATAAAAGGATTTTTATATTCAAAGTTATACTATTTGTCACTTGTACTAGTTTTCCACTGAATCCCTCATATTTATATTTTTAAAATTTAGCAAAAACAAAAACTAAAAAAATTCATTTTATGTATAGAAACAAAATATTTAAAAGTTTTAACTGCTACACAGTCATTAAACATTTTAATGGACTTAAGTATTTCAGTTTATTTTTAAAATATCTTGACTAAGTCTCTTATTCTGCACTGATGTATATCTCAGTATATAAGATTATATACATACATATTCTATAGCAAAAGCTACTATATATGAAATCTTAGTAATAAAATAAGTTATATATACCAGTAATATTTGAAACTCAATTATTTAATATATTCTGTTTACAATTATTTACCAAAAGATACTTCATATAATTAGTAATGTTTTCTAAACATCAAGTGATTTTAGTCTGTTTATATAAAGAAATAATACAGAAATACTATTAAGTTATATTTCTATAAAGACACTTTCATATCCATTTCAAAGTTAAATTTTATTCTTTGTCAAGCATAAATAATAAAAACCTAATCCTGAAAACTAGGAAAATTTTAAAATCAATTGGCTATGGTTCAATTCTGGTCTTGACTCATAGCTGGATCATATTGTTATAGTCTACATAATAATTAGAATGTAATCATTGTCTTTATGAAACTCAGTTTATCTGCAATTATAAAAAACTGTGTTATATTAAGTTTTATTTTTCATTTTGTAATATATATTTTTATTTTCATTTTGTAATATATATTTTTATTTTCAATTAATAAAATGATTAAAAACTTCTTATAAATATAATTTTAAGCCATTCTTCTAGACAGTAGTTCTCAACCTTTCTGAGGCCATTAAATGCCATTCATATATGTTTTATTACATGAAGCATTAGCATCAATATATTCAAAAATTAATAAGCAATTTCACATTTACTATTCTCAGGAAACAACAAAGCAATAAACTAGTATGTTTTAATATATTGAATAAAATAAAAACATGGAAATGTCTACAAATACAGTAATATGTTGGTATAGTACATTGGAATAAATTTGCAATAAATACTTTAAAATCTTTTTTCCATGGAATACTGAGGCAGGTTTGCGAAACACCAGTATTCCGCAGAACACCAGTTAAGAACCACCATTCTAGACTCTCGATCAATCATATAAAATTTTTTTCGTTTTTATGTGAATATATACAAAGTTTATTTTAAATCAGATCACTGATCAACTGAGATTTAATTCAACATAATCAAAAATTCTGTAAATCTAACCTATTATAAAACACAAGATTGGGTATATAACAATAAAATTGACAGAAGCTTTCAAAATATATATTTTTATCCTTTAAAAGAAGTGTAAAAATCCATCGCACTGAGAGCCTTTGTAACAAATCTATTTGCACAGTAAAAAAACCTTTAAATAATATAATAAACTTCTTCAGTTATATAGGATTTAAATTCTCATAAATGCTTTCTTACAAACATTAATCACAGTTTATGATTAATATATTATAAAAAAAATATTAACTCATTGTATGTCTTTTTAACAACCAAAAATTAACATTAAATCTTATTCACTTCCATTATAATTAAACATTCTAATTCAGTATATATTTTTCCCAAAACAGGAGTTAATTTTAATTAGTTCATGATGCAATTTTTATAAATTATAATTCAATTAATATATTATCTTTTTACAGCTTAATACACTTGAGAATTTACAAATTTTATGTATTAACTTATGTACTTTTAAGCCTATTTTTTAATAAGAAAATTGGAAGCAGTTTTTCTATCTTTATATGTATGACAAGTTACAGTATAAAATGTATTGTGATGTCATAGTCTATTTATTAATTTAAATATCCACGTATCGCAACTTAATAATGATTTATTATTTATAATTTAAGGAAAAATATTATTATTATTATTATTATTACTTATAAACCGACCTATCTTCTCTTCTTCAAACGTGCGAACAGCACCTCCATCCATAACGTCGGTCGCCATTTTGATTTTCTAACTGAATCTATCTTTATATTTCATATCACAAATCGGATCATTTCCACTTATTTTTTTATAAAATTCAATTCGATAATGGTTCGAGTTACTTCCGATCGTCGACAATTTTCCTCGGCTACATTCAGACAACGGAAGAATCCCGACTCGATCCGACCGACATACACTTTAGGCTTACCAGACGGTACGGACAAAGTACGCATGCGTAAACTATTTATCCGAAGGGAGGCGTTCCCTGTGTGACGTTTTCGCGGAAAATATTTTTTTCCACGTTTTTTTCCCCCTTTTTTTCCTCAAGTTCCGAGTTATTAAAGAGAAGTCAATTGCGTTTATTTTACTTTTTTTTTCTGTTTGTACCCTAAAACGAAGTCCGAATGAAGGTGCCTTCGATCAGGTAAGACGAATTTTATATAAATTAATTCATTACACACATACAGAGTAATGTAACTGCATGCCAAATGATTTTACCAATTTTGACTCTGTTGTTGTTGTATATAACAATTAACTGTGTGTTATAATAAATATAGTATAAATTGTTAAGCACAGTTACAACAAACTACATAAATTAAAATTATCATTAGAAAGGGTAATTATAAGAAATTATTTATGTTATAATAATGGATATTTAAATTATAAACATGTAGGTTATATTTGATTCTCGTTATTTGTGCGGTGAGGTAATTTTGCACGCAGGTTTTTGTCAGCCGGATCAATAAGGAACATTGATCCTACACATAGTGGCATTGTAGCTTTTGATAATGTAGTTACTAAATATAGTTTAGTCGGGATTAAATTATCTAAAAAAGTAATTTATTAAATTATAAATTGTACAGTGTTTTGCTTTAACTTCATTACGTAATAACTTACTGATATTATTTTTAAACCGATTTTCCATAAATATAGAATATTTTAAATCTAATTAATACATGTTGTACACTTCTAATGAATGCAATGTAGAAGTATAAGTACTTAAGACACAGTTAACTTTTTCATTATTAATGAAATATTGAAATTATGTTGAAGATCAATAAAATTGTGGCAAGCTCTATTTTTCTGTTTATATATATCTACGACTTCCATTTTAATGATATAAAAATAAATTTAAATGCAAATAAACACTAAAGGAAAAGGGGATTTGTTACGTAGATTATTTACATGTACTCTGCATGTTATAGACAGTTTTCAAAGTCTAGATAATAAAAATCAATGTAGAGAAAAAAAAATTAATTTTTAAATCTATTCTGTTTAAGCATTTTCTATTTTATAATAATAAAAATTGCAGAAAATGATATTTGTATTAATCTTGCAATAATTAAAACAATATGTAAGTCTGCTCCTTAATTCAATAATTCCATTTTAACATTGAATTATCTTTTTTTTTTAGTCATGTTTGAAGCTATAATTTTTAAAAATTTGAGCAAGTTTAACACTTATAAATTAAATAAACAAAATTTCTTTGGATTTATTGACTTTTCTAAGCAATTATTTTATATATATTTTTAATTAATATCGATCAGTTAATGTTTTTAACTAATCGATACATATTCCTTGTTTATCGTATAGACCTATTAACCTAATATGTCAAAACTACTTCAAGAATGTAAAATCAATATTTTAACTTCGATCCATTAATACAGAAATGAAAAAAAAATATTTTTCATTATATAAAATATATAAAAAATAGTTTCCTTAGCCCATTTAATAGCCCATTCTTAAATAGTTTTCAAGCTTGTAATGGTTTTAATCGATTCATTTAGAATAAATTAATTTTTTTCCTTTCGTTTCTTTCATTTAACTTTTTTAAATAGGATGAAAGTTCAGGATTCAGAATTAGAATAACTGAAAATAATAATTTTAATTTTTTTTTTAATTGAAGTTTTTTATTCTATTCTGAACTCGATTATAAGAGGAAGATTAAGTGAAATGCAATGGTCAAAAATTTCGTATCAAAATAAATTGCTTAATTTAACGGATAAAAAATTTAAATTAACATAAATAAAGCAACGTAGATATTAAAAATTGATCCTGAATAATTTATTTACAGTAAAACCTGTCTAAAACGGAAACTTGCCTAAACGGGAAAAATTCTTAGGAACACTGCGATTTTCTTTGCTTTTTTTTAAAAAAAAAAATACACCTGTTTAAAATGGAAACCTACCAAACCAGAAAAACATTCAGTACTGTACTGTACCAGTCCGGCTTACACATGTTTCACTGTACTTAAAATGAAAATCAGGTATTTCTAATTAAGAAAACATCGGAATTCATTGATCCTATTAAGCAATTTACCTAAAAAACAAAAACAAAAAAAAATATCTTATTTCATTATTTATATAAAATATGTACACGAAACATGAATGTCATTTGCTTATTCCATCTTTCATATATTAGAAAACAAAAAAAAAAGAAAAAGAAAAAAATCGATTTTGAAAATGGAGATGACATCTTCATTTCCATTTCATCTCCATTTCTCCCATCGCTATTCATTATAAAAGTTTGATATAAATTTATATATTTACAGTAATAGGATGATATTTTTTAACTTCGAATCAGTGATGAGATTCTTAAAAAAACTAAACCAGATGGTATTTTCCGTAACTCTGAAACAATAGCATTTCATTTTATTCGAATCGATCTGAGTATCTTCCATTAAATACTACACGTCATTTAGCATTGTTTGATCTACGTAACAATTTAAATTACTGATTATTTTAATAATTTCTAAATAAATTTAATCGTATCTTGGATTACCATAACAACATTGTTACTAGACTTTATTGCCATTCTTTATTTCTTGGTAAACTTAAGATCGCCCGAACCAATGGTCCAATTTTCCTGAAAATTTCTAGAAAAATTTTTCCCTAATACACAAAGTTTTCTGCAAAGTTTCAGAAATTTTCGACAAAAGACACGTGAGTTATTAAGCTACAAATTGGGCGAAAAAGACCCCCGTGAAACCCCCATACACAAACACACAAACATCCATACATACAGAAAAATCCCCAATTTTTGTGCATTTTTCGACGTTTCTGGATCCCTCGAGACCAAAGATGTAGAAACCTTGGGGTCACTTTTTGACCAATCGCCATACTTTCCCTCTGTAATATATTAGCGGAAAAATAAAAAAGTACATGAAGAAGAGTTTTAACAATAATATAATATAAATATTCAATGTTTACATGTTTTATTTTATAATGAAAAGAAGAAAGTATAATAATACATACATTTTCAATCTTGTTTTATTTTTTTTATTTTTTTGTATACCTATAAAAATCCATCTGGACAAAAACTTTACATTCCAAAAGAGGAAATACCAGGATAAAAGAGAACGTATCTCTTTTCCCCGGGTAAAAGAATGATCTTATTTTAAAATAAACTTTTAAAATTTTAAGTAAAATTGACGTAGACATGTTTTGTTGATATTTAAACACTTACAGCAATTTTACATTATCTTTCCTTGTAGAATGCCAAAAGGGCAACATGACTAGAAATTATTTCTTAAAATTGCAATATTCTTTTTAAGCTTTTCTTTAAATATATATAAAAAATATTTTTGATTACGTAGATTATTTACATGTACTCTGCATGTTATAGACAGTTTTCAAAGTCTAGATAATAAAAATCAATGTAGAGAAAAAAAAATTAATTTTTANAATTCTGACCTTGAAATGAACAAACAAATTTTATATAACATAAAAGTTTTCTTAAAAAGACACTAAATATAAATCTCCAAAGTCTGAATGAAGATTGAAAACATTCCAAGTGTTCTTTTTTTTTCTTTTTATTTTTCTTCGTCTCGCTTCTAGTTTCTATTCCATTTCTTACAATTCATTGAAGAGAAGAGTTACTATTGGCTAACTGCCAATTGTCCAACAGATTTCTTTCTACCGACTGAATTCTCTGATTTTAATAGTTGCAGATACTAAGAAAAATTGCTATGGTTATGAACATCCGTAGAGGGGAGAAAACGGGGCACTTGGATTAAGTAATAAATACTACAATTATAATCGTAAAAGTAAATGAGATATGTACGGTAAAACCTGTTTAAAACGGAAACCTGCCTAAGAGGAAAAAATTCTTTGGAACGATTTTCTAAGTTAAAAGAAACCTGTTTACAACGGAATCCCCGCTAAACCGGTACAATGCGATTCCGGTTTACACAGTGTTTACTGTAATCTTACATCTTCGACTATTAGACACTTTTTTGCAGTAATGTATTCTATAATCTATTCGTGGGGAAAACCCCAAAAATTAAGTAATTAAATAAAAATTTATTGACGTAATTATTTGTCTCCCCTTTAGGAAAATTTTCTTCGGACGCCTATTGAACGAGAGGGAAAATCCCCAAATTATATAGAATTAACAGAGGATGTAATATAAAATATATTCTACACATATACAGTGAAACCTGTGTAAACCGACTTCGTATTGTACAGAATATTTTTCCGCAGGTTTCCGTTTTGAACAGGTGTATTTTAACACAGAAAATCGCTCCTTTCCTAATCATTTTTCCGTTTAATCAGGTTTCCGTTTTATTAAGGTTCCGTTTTGGAAAGGGTTTTACTGTCTAATTAAAAATTTTCAATCTTCGTATACTCTACACTCTGCTAGATTTAATGGGCTGAAAAAATTCAAATTTATAANTTTTTTTATTGACAAATTCTTACAATATAGAATTAATCATTACAAAAAGTAAGACGTTATAGTTTCAGGTATTATCGTCAGATGGCAGTGAAATGTAATTTAATTTTGGTATGAAATAACCATTTTAGAAGTGTTTACAAGTATATTTTATTTTTGTTGAATATAAAATTATATATAAACAAAACAAACAAACACAAAAAAACAATATGTATAATACGTAAAATATATGTAAAAATGTATGTCACGTAAGTCATACATTTAAATTTCAGTGATCCGAATTAATTAGGACTGTGTTTACATCGAACAAATAAAGATCTGGATAAGAAAAATTATAAAATAGTTTTTCTTTATTCGTTACATCATTTTTTCTCTTCTTATTATTATTCATTTATGAATTTTTGTTAAATTTTTTTCTATTAAGATTGCTAAAATCGAGTACATTTTTGTATTTAATTATTACTATAACTCCTTAACTAATTTTTAAGAACATTTACATGAATGTACAGTTTATTATTTCGAATAACAAATGCTATTCGAATAGCCT